AAATGTGTCAGATTAAAATATAAAATAACTCAAAAAGTACTTAATGAAAAAGTACTTTATTATAGTGTTTTGGAAAGCTCTCGACATAAGCTATAAGAATATGCAATAAAAAATAAGAGTTTCCATTTAAGAAATTGAAAGTGACCGTCATGTGACCTTCCAATGACTATCCAAGGTCACATCAATGGCACTATCTTATGTTCCCCTTCGAACCAAACAACTTTTGTCTGAAACGTTTTTCCGTATCTTCCATATTTTTCGAGATATTTGACTGGCTCTTTTAAAATGGACCATCCTGTATATCAAATTAAATAGTTTAAATAAATCTACATATATACATTCAATGTTGTTATTTTTTAAAAATAGGTATTCCCACAAGATATTTTTGATGGAATTCCCACAAGATTTGTTTTGCTACATTAACATAAACATGTATATGTCGTAGCCAGATTACATAATCCATAATTTTATAAAATATCTAGGCATTTTATAAAGTGCAGCCATATTCTCAAGTCATGGTTGAAAATAAAATATTTTACAATCTAGCTAAGAATTTTAGTCTTTTTAAAAAATGCTAACAAGCGACCCGCCACATTGTCAAACGCGACGATTTGTACATTGTTTTAGATTCTGGCTAGTTCATTTTAGTCATTTTATGAACGGCGCGTTTATAGTGACTTTACTTTATGTTACATTTGATAAAATAGTCATAATAAATGTGTTTCAAAAACTTTTTTTCGCTTTCAATTTTATCTTTCTTTTTATTTAAGAAAGAGAAAGAAGGAGAGAGAAAGACAGAAAACGGAAAAGAGCGATAAACATTATCACGCGTTCGCGTGTATAATTACCAATTTATCGTTATTGAAAACATGATCAGCCAAACTTTCCAAATATTCCTTCAATGCTTCCATTTTCCAACAATTTATTTGTCACAAATGTATTAATTGACGATTCACTCAAGTATAAGCGCTCAGTTTTGCTAATATAAACTAATTTTCTCCAATATGACATCGAATAGAAGAAATCACTTCTCTTCCTTGCACTATTCCGCAATACTTTTATAACCGTTAATAATTTCTTATCACTTTATCATTTCTCTTTCTTATTGCATTATTTCGCGATACTTTTAATGGGCGTAAATTTGATTGCGCGTGACTTAACGCGAAACACTACCGTTAAGCTTTTTTACTTTTCATTTACTTGTCAAATTCATTTACTTGTCAAATTTCAGAGCTTCGCTAGCGCAATCTTATGAAATCTGTATTTAAAAGATTTAAGTAGATAAAAACAAACAAAAAAGCAGTATTATCATTATTATTATCTTTCATGAATTTTTGAGAGACAGTATTCACTTCTTTTCACTTTTTATCCATTGTATCTTCCAGGAAATTTTTTGTTTTTATTAGGTTATTTTTATATTAATTTTGAACTATTTTTTTGCAATATTTACTTAAATCTTTCGGAGCTACTTATGTTCGTATGCATTTGTATGTTCCATTGAGATTATTAGGTGTACAACTTTGGTTCCGCCGTTTTTTTTCCGAAATTCAAGGCTTTATTGTAAAAAACTGGTTATACATTTATGATTCAAAGTATTGTCCATCGCTGGCCACTACTTTCTCCCATCTTTCGGGCAGAGTACGAATCCCGCGTTGAAAAAACTGGTCATCTTTTGAAGCGATCCACGAATCGATCCAATTTCTTACTTCTTCATAAGACCGGAAGTGCTGGTCAACCAGGCCGTGTGCCATTGATCGAAACAAATGATAGTCAGAGGGAGCAACGTCTGGAGAATACAGCGGGTGGGGTAGGACTTCCCGTTTCAACGTTTCCAAGTATGTCTTGACCACTTTCGCAACATGGGGTCGAGCATTGTCATGCTGCAAAATCACTTTATCGTGCCTCTCGTTGTATTGCGGCCGTTTGTCTTTTAATGCTCGGCTCAAACACATTAATTGCGTTCGATAACGATCGCCTGTGATTGTTTCAGTCGGTTTTAACAGCTCATAATACACTACGCCGAGCTGGTCCCACCAAATACAGAGCATGACCTTGGAGCCGTGAATATTCGGTTTGGCCGTCGACGTGGAAGCATGGCCGGGATATCCCCATGATTTTCTGCGCTTGGGGTTATCGTAATGAATTACCATTTTTCGTCCCCAGTCACAATGCGATGCAGAAATCCCTTCCGTCTTTGCCTTTCAAGCAACTGTTCACAAGCAAACAAACGCCGTTCAACATCTTTCGGTTTCAACTCACCGCACCCAATTTCCTTGCTTCTGAATCATTCCCATGTCTTTGAGGCGTTTTGAAATTGCTTGTTGAGTCACTTCCAATGATCGTGCCAATTCTTCTTGACTTTGACTCGAGTCTTCATTAAGTAATGCCTCCAATTCTGCATCTTCGAAAACCTTCTCTCTTCCACCGCTATGCCGGTTTTCGACGTGAAAATTACCGTTCTTGAAGCGTTGAAACCACTCACGACACGTTCTTTCACTAATAGCGGCCTCACCATAAGTATTTGAGAGCATTCGATGAGCCTCAACCGCAGATTTCTCCATATTGAAGCAGAAAATTAAAACCTCCCGCAAATGACGAGAATTTGGCTCGTAAACTGACATTTTCAATCGAGAATAACTTTATGATGCAGACACAAATCGACTAATGTTTCTATGGGGTTATGTTGACAGATGCCCAAGTTTATTGCATGACGTCTATGATCTATTTATTTCGACCACTACTTACCGCTAAAGCCATCTATAGGAAAATGGCGGAAGCAAAGTTGTACACCTAATAGATTTCCGCCATTTTATTGTAGATTACATTAAAACCATTTAAACATATACCTCTAAAGAGTATATTTCACGAGTGGCGCTAAGCCATTCCCGGGTAACATGAGTAGAAGTAATGACCCAGCCACGCAGCAATGTACAGAGCTGCGAGCACAATACCTTCTCCCGGTGGCATAGAAAAGACATGATCCTACAAGTCTCGCGTGTTATCGTCGTGTGAAACGAGATCTTTTATGGTCCTGAACTTAATACCCAGATAGCACGGAACGTCCTATGGATGTTCATTTTATGTCTATTTTACGTCCGCACATCGATGGACATGAAATGAACGTTCATCGTGTATCCGATTTGAGACATTTGTCAGTGGCCAATATTTGGATGTCCACAGGATCTTGGACGTCACAATTTCGAGCAATTTTTTTCTTTTGTTTCTTGACTCTCGGTCAGTGTTATTAGACAGATGATTTTTGGGCTATGCCGTCGGCGGCTAATAATTGATATAACGTTTAAAAAATATCATTTCTTAGACCAGCCAAAGACGTTATTTTGAAGACATTCTA